ACACACACACACAGACACACACACAGACACACACACACACACACACACACACACACACACACACACACGTTCGTTTCTGTGTATTGTGGGGACTTTCCATAGACTTCTATTACTTTTATACTGGCCAAACAATATTTTCTATCCCCTAACCCAACCATAACCCTACCCCTTACAGAAAACCTGTTTGCATTGTCAAAAATGTCAGGTTTTACTATCCTTGTGGGGAAATTTGGTCCCCACAATGTAGCATAAACAAGTACACACACACACACACATACTGTATATACTGTACATATATTTTTAATGAGAATATATTGTGAATCCTGTTTATTCTTATGTTGCATATGCCTCATGAAATTTTGTTAGGTTTATACTTAAAACAAGAAAAAATGCCAATAAACAGCATTCAAGATATGTTTTCAAAAAATATTTAGTCAATAAAATTCTTTAGAATTTTATAATTTTTTTTAAAGGAAAACAGGACAAAATACCGATTAAGACAAAATACTTTCATTATTTCCCTTTTTTCCAAATTGAGCAGAGAGTGGGCTACATTTACACCGCAAGCCTAATACATGGAGCTTTTCACCTAATTTTTTTCTCCCCCTGTTTATGTCCACTTAAGAAAAACCAACTATACTTATATTAATACACCGCCAAGTAGTTTCAAATAGTGCGTTTGACCATACATGCAAACAGCTACATTACCTTGAATGCACGTGAAGACGCATATAAGCATTAGAAAGCAGCCGCTTGTCAGTCTGTCACTTAGTCTGTAGAAAGACTGGCATCTGTACAGTTTTTACTGTAGTACCGGTACTTCTGACATCCCTTCGCAGTTCTGCCAGTGCTTTCCTGCACAGCTCCATTTGGCCCCATCACTATAGCAGACCATTAACCAATGTGCAGTAACACAAATACTCTGACGTATGGCTATACACACACACAATAGAGCATAGTGAAAAAGAAACACCCCAGCATGGAGGTTATCCATCAACGTCGCCGCAGTGAGAAAATGAAAAGCTTTCATAAGGCGGCCCATTCCGGCTGGTGCATTTGCTATTGAGTGTGCTTGACAGTGTAAACAGATTTGTTGGCCAGCTTGGCCATCACCCCTCAACTAATGGGGTTGAAGAGGAATGGGCACACCACGCAGATATTGAACAGGAGCGTTAATCTTGATTCAGCTGTCATTCCCCCAATGAGGTGTTAAATCAATACAGATATGGCTCCCCAGTTCTAAGCTTTACTTCTCAAGTTCGCGCTCAGGAAGAAAGCTAAGACTTTAATGAGGAGCATGTAAACCATTTGCCGAGACTCTTTAAGCAAAGACAAATTCATCGGGCGCCATAGTCTATCAGCTCAATCATGGCGAGTTGTCAGGGGAAAATCGGATCTACACACCACGCAAATAATGCACGCCATTGTCTATCCTCTGCAGTGTGCGCTGTTAGTAGACCAAGACAATCCTGTGAGCAAACAATACCAAGCAGCTCAGAGAAATGGCTGCGCTGATAAAGGTTGACGTGTTTTGAAAATGAGTGCTGACATGCGAAAAACTAACAAATGAACAAACAAAATAAATGAGAGCGATGCTTGCAATCAAATTGTATTGTCAGGAATTAAGCACACATATATCAGCGTGAAGCCTGCTGGGAAACCTTTGGTACTTTGCGGTGATCTATGACTTTGGCATTTCTGGGGTTGTTCGCTGGCCTCTAACACTATTAGCATCACCTGTGTGAGCCTGAATATTTGCATCTAAAGAATAACTTGTCCACTCGTCCAACAATAAGGAAGGAAGACAGTGAGACCCACTAGAGAAATAATTAATTGATTTTTCATTTTTCTGCTTTGTATTATCTGTTTATTTATTTATTTTTACAGAATGACAGATATTCTTTGCAATGAAGAGAGGAAAGGGCTGGTGAGCCGCACAATTTAAAGGTTTGCTACTTCAACTGAAATTTGAATGAATTGCTTAAAGCCAAGTCTCTTTGTAAGCATGCCTGTACTTCTCAGCAACTGGGGAATGCATCACACGCTCATTATATTTTCGGTTAAAGATTTTCTCTTTCATTTTCTCTGTCTTAAACGGTTTTGTTCACATCTTGCACTGATATTAACTCTCTTTGATCTTGTCATGGTAGATGATTTGCTGCCCTGTCAAGACAAAATGTAGCGTAATCTGAATGTGAAGTCTGAGGCTTCTGTTCTAGCAGAATGTTCACATTATTATATACAGCAGGGCAGGGGTCCGAGATGAAAAGTGTATGTGTGGGGCCCCTCTTCTCTCTCTGGGTCCAATGAGACTACATCATAGGCCAATCTTCATTCTCAACATTTCTGACAACAGCTCTGCAGTGAAGTCCAAAAGTCAGAAAGCACACTGAAAATATGGTAGATCTGGAAACGAACAAAGATTTAGGATTGAAAGTAAAAAAGCAAAAGGAAAAAAGGAAAACATTTTAGATTTTTCTAGGTCAATTAAAGAAAAAGAAGAAAAAACAAATAACAGTATTAAAACTTTAAATTGTTATGCTAATAAAACAAAACTAAACAATTATAAATAAATAAATATTTCTTTATTCCTTTTAATTTATTAATTACATTTTAATATGTGTATAGAAAACTGTTATTTTAAATTGTAATAATATTTGTAATATTACTGTTTTTTACTGTGTTTTGATATAAAAAAAAATAGCCATGGTGAGCATAAGAAATATATTTCAAAAATATTTTTAAAATTGTATAAATAAAATATAATATAAATACTGTATTAAATAATTAGAAAAATACAATATAGAAGCATTTTCCTTTCGACCCCACAGTAAATATTTTGTAGATTCACATTTTGTGATTCCTAGTGCAATATCCAATTCAAACTGCACTGGTGATGTGGTAATATCCAATCATGATGCAGGTAAATATGCTGCCACAATCTGTTCCAGTCATATTCTAATCATATGTACATCAAAAAAAATGTTTGAAATAGGTTCTGTGGTTGTATTGAATTTTGATTGGATGTAGGTATCTCAGAGATGAAGGAAATGATTTGATATCAGGTATAGACAGGACCGTAAGCCTCTAGCCTTTGTGATATTGTTTGTGCCACACAGTGAAGGAAAAAGCACAAAGTAATAGGATGGGGGGGAGGGCCAGTATGCTTTGAGGGAAACGACCACCTTGACAAGCGAGGTGGAATAGAAGTCGAAGTCAATCTTCGAGCTGCTTCACCGGCGTGACAAGTATACTGGAGAAATCCTTAAAGGGAAGGGCACTCCAATGAGTTTTCCCAAGTTTAGTGCCAGCCACTAGCAAACAGACAAGACCACACATCCAGGCATCATTTCAATTCTGATTGTACACTGTTATTCCCAATAAGAAGTCCATTAGGGCATGTAGCTATAGGGGCTACACATTGCACACTGAGCCAGTGCTAATATAGAAACCAGCAAAAAGAAATATGTGCATTATGCAACAGGTAAACAAACCATGCAAGAAAAGAGCAAAGGGAAAAAACACAGCGGGCACAACATTCTGAAGAAAAGAGGTAGCCGACTGCCATTACATGCAATCACACTTGATGTGCTCCCTACCAAACAACATGAACACTTTCTGTGTTCATTCAACATGACAGGGACCACGGGCAGATCAGTCTGTTTTGTTTTAAGAAGACATGATTCAGACCTTGAATTAGCTATATCACCCCAGGCAGATTTGCACTAATTCACTTTTACAAGGATGCACTGGAGACTTGGAAAAAAAAACTGGACTGTGTACAAAACCATCAAGCAAAGCAGAGCAACCTGCTTCAGTATTGCAGCATTGTGAAAATGTAGCTCATACGTTCATTCTTCCTCATGCATTTCATATTTCATGGATTCTACAAGTAGACTGCTATTGCGGGTTTGCCTCTACACATCAAAATGTTACAGACTACAAAGTCAAAAAAAAGTATTACTCAGAAGCTGCTCTTTCGTTTTAGATGATTCTACTATGAAAAAATAAAATGGCACAACATAGTGAATGTACAGAGCTACACAAATTGACATGGCTCAGATAATTTGTTCTCAGATTAATTTAATAATTTAATAAGAAACAGTTTGGGTTCATATTGAAATCTCAGCTATAATTTTTTTTCTTGCTGCATACTTCAGTACCTTGGCAAATAAGAGCACTGTGACAATTTTGAGATGTTCACATAGCAGCAGAATATGGTTCTCAGACATATATTTGAGCTCTTAACGCAGTTATATTCATAACCGGTCTGGCTGTTTATGGAAACTGACAACCGCGTTCAATAACTGAACTCACATTCCTAATTTTCTGGATTCATAACCGTACATTTGACGAACACCTGCTGTGTGAAAAGAACCGTGAGTCATACAGTACGACATATATACAAAGACAGCCATGTTGCGTTTTTATGTGTGGTTCTGGTAACATACAAAGATAACAAAATGGGCTGTGCATGTGTCACCTGAAAATGTACAATCCAGTCAGTCTTCCACCAACGCTAATCTCCTTAATTTTGTGGCATGACTTTGAGAATTCCATCTCAAACTGCTGTTGGTTCATTAACGTGCAAATCACTCATGACACGTCAGGTGTAACTTTCCAGTAAAATTTACATCGCCATATATGATATTTATTTCAGTTACTGTTACTATGATTACAGGTGATATTCACAGCTATGGGGAGAACATAAAAGATGACTGACATCAGCTATTTGTTCATACAGAAGTGACTCGAATACTGTATGCAAACTGTTCTTCTGCATCGTTATCGTAATAGCTGTGACCTAACGATTCTCATAGAATTAGAACTTTAGTAGTCATTATAGTCATCGTCCTTTGTGAAAATACCTTTATACGGCCCTTTATACAGAATTATTCTGAAAAACATAACATTATTTACTTACCCCATATTGTTCCAAACTCGTATGACCTCTATTCTTCTGAAAGTAAACTATTCGACATTTTGAAGCATCTGTGCACAGGTATGATCCATATAACGCCAAGGCTGTTTAGCACCAAAAAAGCACCATAAAAGTAATCCATTAGCAGCTACTTTGAATTAAGCTTGATGTCAGCTTCACAAAAAACATTGATTTTAACTCTTTTTGAGAACTCTGAATCAGACTGAATCTGTAAATTGATTTGTGAGCGAATCAGTCCAATTTTTGAGCGAAAAGTTCAGTCCTGTTTCTGAACCAAATCTAGTTCGTTGAGCAAACTCGGTTAAAAAAACAATTCTAATTAGTTTTTGAGTTCAAACAACGCTAAATTATTCTATAGTAATCCATGAAAAAAAAAACATCATATTGCTTTGTAATGATATAAGGGTAAGTAAATAATGACTTAATTTAAATTTTTGGATGAACTGTGTCTTTAAATAACATATAGTCAGTGTACAGAATATGGTACCAGTGGCTCCTTCAATGGTCAGAGTGGGGCTAACTCAAACATTTCTAATACCTTACACATTAATTCAAAAACCTTCAGACGAGAAATCAGTGGGAACCTCTGAATAGAAAATTATGTTAAATTTGTCACTCCAATCCCTTGCAATAGAGTATTAGTTTGTGAGGTGGTAGAAACATGATCACATGCTGGGTAGGTGTAATTGAAAAATGGAGGCGCTCTTAGACAGAGAGCAATTACGATGTAGCCCTCTTTGAGATGGAGGGCAATGTCAAATTGAACCTCTAAGCAAGCTACTCAAATGATGGCAAGTTTGCTTCAGAAATCAAAGAGACCCAGTGTGGTATTTTTCTGCCGACGGGTAAAAGCCCCATCTGTCACACAGGAAGAGAGACTATTTATTTGCCATAACCTATACTGAAAAGAAAGCAAATTAAAGTAAATGGAGGCCTGTTGAAAGCATTTGAATTTTTGAATCTGTGAAAGTTCATATATCACACATTGCCATGTAAATGATTCAATTTACAGCACTCTAAACAAATAATTAAAAAGATATGGAGAATAATAAAGCTTGTTAATATTAGTCCCTGAGACCTACTATGTTGAAAAAAGCTCACCATAAACCAGGAATTTTATGAAAAGCTTCAATGCTTCAGATAACAATGTGGATCAATTGCAATTTTCCTGGTATATAGGCCTAGCAGCAATTGCCATTGTCTGGGGTAAATTCAATGATTTATTTTAAATGTCAACATTGTGCGTGCTTGCATCTGTTCTCTCGTGAAATGTGCTAGAAAATCTGTAACACCACTGAGTGACTGATAAGCAATAGACTATGTAGCTTTGCACATGCGATTTGAGTAAATAGAAATAAATTTTCCATAAATACACAGCAGTGCAGTGCCTCCTTGAACATGAATTAAGAATTGCATTGGATTGCAAACTTAAAGATGACGTGTGTAATTTTTTATTTATTTATTTTATGTTAAAAATACTTTCATTCATCTTCCCAGCCTAATATAAACCAAGACACCTAGACGTATACCTTTAATAGGTTGATTTCCCCTGGGGGAAAAAAAGTGTAAATACTGTGATGCTATAAAAACATTGTCCTGTTAAACTGAGCATCTCAACCGCCCAGCAACACTAGTTTAATTGGTTAAGATTAGGACGTGGCTATCTGCTTATTTAACCAATAGCAGGCAGGGGGAGTGTTCAAGAAACTTGTTGAAAAACAGTTCCATCCTGTTGCCAAAAAAATCACTCGCTTCACCTTTAGGGTTTAAATGCTGAAAGATTTCCTCATTGAAACAAATAGGTGAACCATGCTGGAACATCTAATTGCTTTTCTCACTTTCGCTTTGAAAACTGCTCTTTTTGCTTTCTCTTCCAACATCACTTCAAATATAGCCATCAGCAGTGATTTTTGAAGTTACTTGGCGAGAGCAGTCAGGTCAGAATCCTGGGCAGCAAGACTTAGGAAGACAAAGAAACGATAAGATGGAGGAAAATAGAGCAATATGTCAGACATTTGAGTGGAAACCGACAGTGAGGCAGCAGTGTAAACAGGCCAATTTAAGAGTGAGTGTTAACAATTGTTATAGCGACCCTTCCCTGGCTCTCTGAAACTCTTTATAACTCACTGGCGCTAAAACAATCAAACATCCAGACAGACAAAACAACCATTGAGAGAGTTTATATCATGAATCTACTGTCCTCCTCAAAGTGTCTGGGCGGGAATGGGGGTTTAAAATAGAGGTGTAAAAACTCAGACAATTACATCGCCCTCCAATTTAATAGCTAAATTACAGGCGCAGCTACAAACCGTGTGGCATAAACATTCACAAGTCTGCTGAAAGCACAACAATATTGATCAGTGACGTACGTGAATACAAAACTCAATGCAAGCAGGCAATGATTATTGTAATTAATTAAATCTAATTATCACCCTGAAAATGTTTCGAAACCACTGACCTTTTTTGGATTGAAAGTAAAGATCTTCTGTTAATGTCAACATAAAATGCCATTTTGCAAACCATTCTGATGCATTTGTGAGTTAAAGAGGATGTTCAATGCGAAAAAAATGTTGGGTGGGTTCAGAATTTATCCGTTGGACATCATCCATGGATCGTGAAAAGTGGTCTTAGACATTGTTGGTAGGGAACCAACAAGTTATAAGCAATTTTTTTTTTTTGGAACAGTGCACAATAAGATCAGGAACGCGTATTAGGAAAGTAGATGGGGCAAATTTAGATTTCTTTTTTTTATGTTGACTTTAACACTAAAAAAAAAATAGGGATGAATGACTATAGTGATGCCATGTTTTGAGTCAATGATGGTACATACATTTGGACAATTTTATCACTAAAATAAAATAGTCAGCCATTGTTTAATAGCATAGCTGTGAACCCAGGGCAGTTCTATGACCCATAATAGCAATTCTGATGGTCTGCCATAACATAAATTTTTAACAGACTGTTTGCATTATTACTAAGATAGTGAGGTAGTTTTGCTTTATAGCCATGAAAGTAAGAGACTCTGTAATAGCTAGAACATTATCAGTGCTGGTAAACATTCCACGAATCCAAAATGCTTTGGATAGTTTCATTTCAAGTCTTTTTGGCACAGAAAAATCAGTGATTAATTCAAAACAAGCTTCCATTTTATATTAACAATAAGAGAAGGCAAGAGGATGTGGCTATATGACAGCTGTGAGTTTGACGCCGCAACACTCTTGTTAGATAAATGATGCTGGCAAATTTCACATAACTCCAAACAAGAGTTGCTTTTTCTTTCTGACTCCAGCCTATACTCTGAATGTGCTGTCGGATTTTTCAATACATTGAGGAAGGTTAATTTGCTGCTTCTAGCTGCTCTTATGTAATGCTGATGTGAAATATTAATCATGAAAAGCTCAGGACTGCCAAATCTATGCTAGGGAAAGTACTGTTAACCCCCTAAACTGCACGCAGGTGGCAGACCTTCCATCTTGAGCAGGGTGTTCTTGTAAGAGTATGCAGTTTTCTTTCTCCCTGGTGTTTGCGTGTGTGTGCATGTTTGAGGTAGTGGGTGACGGTTGCGTGTGTGTATGCATGTGCATTTGCGTATGCAAGTATGCACTTTTCCTGTTTCTCAGTGCTTCGGATTCCATAATTGAAAACTAGCGAAACGCAAGCAAAAGGCCAATAGCTGCACATGGTCAGAAAGCATGTTAAATTCAGTGAGACTGTCTGGAGCAAAAAATGCTTTTTGCTGATGCACAAATTCTTTTACTGCCTTGGGTAAGCATACATCAGTTCTTTAAGCAGATGCGGCAGATATTTACAGTTTTCTACTCTGTAATGCATACAGGCACCTTTTGCACGAGTACTGAGGCAGTACCGTGATGGTATTAGATGATTATTCCATGGTGCTTTAAAACAGAGAAAGTATAAGGAGGAGCCGTTGTTGTGTTGGATTTTCCTATCCCCTCACTATTGAAACATGTTCATTGGTACTATATTAAAATTTCTGATTAAAAATTATAGAAAATTACTTTATAGCATGTTTAGTATGAATCTAATTAATGTCTATTTATCACATTTTATACAGCAGTTAGTTCTGGTCCTTAAATTGGCCAATCAAGTTTTAAAGTGGTTTCACAGTCTAACAGCACTGCAAGTTTATATAACTCTTTGATTTATTTTTTAATATATTTACACCAGTAGGTGGCAACAAATGACTGCATTATGAGTCATTGACTTATTCATTCAACCTATTCGTTCAAAACACTAATTTGTCCAGAAACACTGCATACGTCATTGAGGCTGTCTCATTTCAGAAAAGCAGCTGTTATAAAATACACTGATGTTTGTTGTGAGGTGTAATTACTGTAATTGCTTTCTCACTTTGGAATGTAATGGATGTTTTTCTAAAATAAACCATCTTCGGTGGCATATCCGGCCGACAAATGCAATCTCTGGAGGGCACAGCCTTTGAAATAAGACAAAGCAAGTGAATTTATTTATGAGAGAGTCACTGAATCATTTCTTTAGTAGAGCAAAAATAGGAAAAGTAACTTGCTGTATTGTGTTTAAAATGGAAATGCAATTACAAATGTAATTATTGAGCTGCAATATCAGGTTTACGATACCTACAAATACTTTATATATCGCAACAAATACTTTTTAGTGCAAGTTCTGCTAAAGAAAACAATTTTATGATATTACTGTATAGTTTTCAGATTTTATTGCAATCTTGACCAGCAACTTTGGCAATTTTAGGCTTTTCCTATTCAAGTAGATTGAAGCCTTACCTCCATTACCTAACATTTCGGCCGGGGACTGACTTGCCTTAAAGGGACTTCATGTACCACAGTACTGAATGATTACACACTCTGGTACTTCAAAGAAGACCATGATATTACTATGGTACATGCCCAAAAAATACCACAGTAATAATACCATGGTGCTTTTTTGTCAGTGAAGAGTCTCAGTCTAGTCCAACATTTTTCAGTCAAATGAAAACATCCCTCTTACCAGTCCTTTTTTTTATACATTGTACTTTGATGGTCAAAGCTGAAGCCATTATCTAAGTGGATTATAAAAAGATTACATCAGCTTCAACCGAAACCTTTCAGGCTTCCGGTAAAATGGCTCTGGATGGAATGAGTACATGTTCTACATGAGTAGAGGAAATTGCGAATGACTGGGAGGAACCGAGGCATTTATGCGTAGAGTGCATGACAGTGCGGTGAGGTGCATCTTTAGTAACCGCAACTGAGGTGTGCTTCTGAACTAAAGATCAGTGCACTGTTGATCTGAAGATCCTAATAAGAGGGTTTGCACAAAAGCGCTCAGTGAATTTATGAACAAACGAGCTCCACCCGCAGCGAGGACTCCCCAGTTGCCCTGTCGCTGCACCTGCTGCATCTTTTTCTCAATAATGCCAGTGTTTTAGCTTTGAGCTTTAAATGTGCTTATATCAGCACTCATGCTCGAGTCCTGTCATCTCCACGCGCCACTGCTGAGTTTCCTCCGCCTGTCTTTGATCACAACTCTCTGGCTGATGAATGGCACCATGTAGTCGGCATTTCAGAGGGTAAATATCCATTAAACGTTGGGCATCTGTCTCTGGGCAGCCTGGCTGAGGAATGAATGAGAATCGGCCTCGCTGACGCCAGGTCAGTGCTATTCTGAGCTAAACATGAAGTCCTGCATTATTCATATACCTGCTTTGTGAACAGATGCAAATATGATCCTCAAACGCAAACAATTTTTTCCTTCATAACCACCGTCCCCTGTAAAATGGAGAGGCATTTGATCTCTTAGGTTGAAAGTACATCAACGGATGCATGCGGAGGGTCCTAAAGAGTGTCTTTAATGGTAGCCAATAGCCTTGAGCTACTTTAATTCTTATTGTCAGGTTGATGTTCACAATTCACAGATTCAATTAACAATTCATGCATTACATATATAAGACATGCTACAATACATCATGTCAAACCCATAATCCACATTTACTATCTGTGTCCCGTATTACATGTTAACTGAATCACGGGTGCAACACTATTTTATTTGCATATTCAGAATCTCCCCCTGAGGTGATCATCAAAGTGTGAAAGTGTGCCGTTAAACATTCATCAAGATGAAAAATTACCCACCTCCATAACAATGTGAACATAACGGTGAAAAGAATCAGGTCTTGAAGACTGGAAGGGCTGTATACTAATTCGGAAATCTCTTTAGCTCGTCTTCACCCATTTAATGCCGTCAATATTCTGATAACATTTGTTTGGAAAAAGGCCATGTTTACATTATCAGATAGGAGCCTCGCAATTTGCACAGAATGAGTTGAGGAATGCTACTGACTTTGTTTGGTCATGGCTAAGTGGATGTAAGGACCTCCAGATTGCTTTCTTATCAATTATACATTTACTGTGACACTGCTATCCACTCTGCTTAATAAAGGAGAAGACCAAACGACAGGGGAAAGAAAGATACAGATGCAACAGCAACAAAATCCAATCTCACACATCAGCGTATTTATTTCAAACCCGTGAAAAGACCAGCAAAGCCATCTCCAGCATATGTTTTGTTTGCAAACCTGGTCCAGTGGTGTTCAAACCAGGCTTCTTAACTTGTTAAAGCGGTAAGACCTTAATGATCAGGAAGATAAGCATCAACAGCTAAAGGTTTGCAAAAATGTTCATTTAGATGTTTTTGTTGTTGTTTTCTTTTCTTTTAGTCATATTTTTGTCTTTTTTTCAATTAAAATTCAATTTTAATTTCATTTTATTTTATTTCATAATTTAATTTATGAATTTGATTTAATTTATTTAATGTATAGTTTTTCCCCTTTCTTTCTATTTTCATTTTTTATTGTGCTGTCAAACGATTAATCACGATTAATCACACACACATGCATGTATATATTTAGGAAAAAAATGTTACGTTTATATATTAAATATATATAATATAAATTATATGAATATAAATATACAGTATATGTAAATACATGTAAATATATACTGTGTGTGTGTGTGTGTGTGTGTGTGTGTGTGTTTATATATACATAATAAATATACACAGTACACACACATATATTATGTAATCAAACTTTTATTTTAGATGTGATTAATCGCGATTAATCGTTTGACAGCACACTTTTTTTTTATCATTTAATTACTTAAGATACTAAAGATTTCTAAACTCCAAAAAATCATCAGCATTTTTGTTGCTCTCACTAGGCCAGCAGAAAACCAGCCTGGACCAGCATGGAAATTCAGTTTGAACTTGGAAGCAGACAAGTAAATCCATCATGATCAAGTTCAATCCAAATCCACAGAAAATAAATAAATAGAATAATGATTATGCGGTTTACCTTAAACAGACGGAGGATATTAGCCACCATTATAGACACGGAACTGGACGACGCTCCAATGACACCCACCACCCTTTCTGGCTTGGTAATGATGGGCGATCCTCCACCTTGGCACTTCACATCCGTGCCGTCCTTTTCGATGAGCGCCTGGACAAAAGTGAGAGACTGCTCCAGAGCATGAGTGTCTCGCGAGCATGTGTCCAGAATGCGGGCGCCCAGCGTGATGTTTGGGAGCAGTTCATGGTCATTATTGATGCGGTCCAGAGCAAAGAGCATAGCTTCCAGACGATGGATGCCCTTTTCCTTTTTCAGCTCACCGCAGGGTTTGCCCTCGTGACCCCGGGCGTGAACTGGAAACAGGCCGCCCAATGAAATGTCCCCATCAATCCGGATAGAGTTTAGATGCGTGTGGCCTGGACCTTTGGGCCTCGCAGCCAAAGCAGTCAGAAAGAGGTAGAGAAGAACCAATGCTGAGCCTTGACAGCGACGGTTGGTCCATCCAACCATTTTGCACATGGCTGAAGACATTGCAGCAAGGCGGTTTCAACCAAAGCGTGTCTATTTTTAGATCTGAGATGTGTCACAACTGAGTTGATGGGTCAATGGAGGCACCCTTTCACAGGGCACAATCTTTTAAAGTTCATAGTTATGTCACGTAGCGATGGGTTTGTAATTGAATGGAATGCTCATCAGGTTCTTTAGGCAGCAGTTCTGAGTCAATCCGTTTTATCTCCTGTCAAGGAACTTCCTCTAGAGTCCTTTGATGAGATTAAAGGTTAACCGTACGTCTTTGGTCCCTTGCTCCCTCTAGGTTTTCAATCGCCCTGTCTCCTAGTGGAGGAGTTTGGGGGTCTTGAGCTGCGAACACAAAGCTTCACCCACCTGTGAGCCTTCCTGGAAAAAAAAAAAAGATATGAAGAAAGGTATGAGTAAGCACCACATAAAGGCGATACAGTCAGATGTTTCTGTGTCAGTATGGGCATTGCAGCACTTATGTTCTTTTCCTTAAACTTTCCTTTGCAGCATCTTACTGAAAATCTGCTTGCTTTTTCTCACATGCTCCCTCTCTCTCCTTCTCTATAGTTTGAATTTAAAACGTTGCTATGGGCTCCCAAGGTCGAGAGAAATATGCTTTGGCTCCCACATGTCTCTTTTCAACATTCTGAATGAAGGAGCTGCATTCCAATGAAGAGCTCCGATCCAGCGAGAGAGAATTATCTATGTAATGTGCTGTTTTCGTTTTCCCCCCATCTGAAATGACAAGCTCTGATAAAGAAAATGAGTTGGATTGATTAAAATTGTTCTGCACACACCGTATACTGACAAAAAGCGGACCTTTTAATCTCTAGCCGCAACGGTCACAGCAGGATATTTAAGTTCTCGGAATGAATTGTTATTTGGGTAACCTTGAGGTCATTAATTACTTGAAACCAGATTTAATTTGTATGACACTGATCTCGATGTGAGGACAAGTTACTTCCCACAACTTTGACAGTCACTGTTATCATTACTCCCTTAATTGTTGCCTAATTGGGTTCAAATTGACATACTGGAATATTCCATTAGGCTTCTGTGTTTTCAGTATGCATGTGCATATATTTGAGCTGCTGATTCTTTTGAACAGAAACTTTGCTTTAATGGTGATTGACAAATACAGCAAACTGATCTAGCCATACTTTTAAGGCAGCGGCTATTTGCACTAAGTGTAAATAGCGATAGATAGTATTTACACTAAGTGCAAATAGCAATGTATTCTATTTACACTAAGTGAAAATAGCAGTATTTTTAACAATATGCTATTTACACTAAGTGCAGATAGCGATAGATTCTATTTACACTGTTAAAATAGCAGGATTTTCTGCTATTTATACTACTTATTGCAAATAGTGGCAATTATCTGCACCTCAGTATTATAGTACATTATAAAACAGTATGCAGTAATAACGTATTGAGTGTAAATTATAATTTTAAAGGGGTCATATGACGTTGCTAAAAAGAACATTATTTTGTGTATTTGGTGTAATGAAATGTGTTTATGCGGTTTAAGGTTCAAAAAACACATTATTTTCCATGAATTTTCATCAGTGTCAAAGGTCTGGACCGGAACAATTGGTTATTACAAAACTTGTTTTTAATAAACATACATAACATGCATAACAAATAAACATTTTTTATTTTTTTTTAATAAAGTGCAAAAGTGGCTAAACAATTAATTTAAGTGTCAGCAATAGAGGTCGACCGACAAGGGTTTTTTCTCTGGCCGATGCCGATATTTAGAAATCAGGGCAGCCGATGGCTGATATCTGATGCTGATTTTTTTGGCCGATATGTTTGGCCGATTTTTTTTTTCTTCTTTATCTAATAAAAGCGAGTTTGAGTAAATGATTATTGCAGGGCACAAGATGGTAATAGTAGTAGTAGTAGTAGTAGT